CAGTTATGAGCAGTGTGGTTGTTTGTTTTGTTTTTTTTTTTTTTTTTTTTTATGTATTTGGTACAGGGTCTCACTGCACAACTCAGACTCATAGTGATCTTCCTGTTTCCAGCCTCCCCAGTGCTGTGATTATAGGCGTGTACCACCACACCTGGTCTCATGGCCAGCTCAGTGTGCCCAGGGGTGGGGCTGGCAAGGCATGCAGTACTAGGGATCGAACCCTGGTCCCTGCACTTGCCTATGCAGGTGCTTAGTCTGCTGAGCTACGTCGCCAGTCCCACACCTGGTGTTTTAATTCGGGAAGGTGAAGGTTTTTGAAGGAATTCCGATGATGGAGAGGGCAAGGCCTGAAGTAAATGTTGACAGTGAAGAGATGATTTGGAATATACACAAGAGTGAGTTAGATGGGACATGTTTGTGGTGTTAGAGGGGAAAAGGGATAGTGAATGATGACTTGCATGGTTTCTGCTTAAATGACCCTTTCAGGTTTTTGTTTGTTCTTAGTCTTTCACCTGTTTTTCTTGAGTGTTTCAGGTGGTTCATTTCTTACCTTTTTTTCATGTAGCATTCATTTTATTTATTTAGCTGGAAACTGGTGAATCATCTTTTCTCCCCACCCCCATATCACCACCCAGAGACTTTTGATGAGTAGGGTACTGGCGGTTAAACCTAGGGCCTTTGCCCAACCTTAAAAAAAAGCTTGAGACAGGGTCTCACTAAGTCACTGGAGTGAGGCTGGGTTCATACTTTGGATCCTCCTGCCTCAGCCTCCCAGACTGCTGGGATTACAGTTGTGTGCCATCACACTTGGCTGGTAAGATAATGAAGAATGGGGTTTGGATCTGTTGGCCAGACCAGGCTTCTAATAACCCCCTTGACTGAATTCTGGGCCAATTCCTTTGAAATTGTTATTTCATTTGCTAGTTGCTGCTTCAATTTTGAAGGTCTCTTACAACCTCAGATATAACCTGTGCCGAAAATAAAATTCCTGTCTTCGTCAAGTTTTATTTTCTAGTATGAGGCATTATTTTCCTCATGCTTGAACCCTTTGACTTCTCTCTCTTGCCTAGTCTTTTTTTTTTTTTTGTCTTACTCGTAAAGATAGTTGATTTGTAGTTACTCTTGCATTCATTTGATTTGTAGTTACTCTTGCATTCATTTCTTAATCTATCATTTCATAAATATCTTAAGTCTATTTCATAGTAGGATAATTATAGCCCCTTATTGATAGGTTTCTCTTTTTCATTCTAGCTAGAAAGTGATACCTAATTTTTTTGTAAAATATTGCTTTGATCATTATCAAGAGTCTGCTAAATTTTTACTTTTTACTGCTATGCAAGTTCCATTGTTTTCTATTGAGATGTCACTGATAACAGAGAAGCAGGTGACTCTCTTGTCATGTTGTTGCTGTTTGATGCTTCATCCTTTTATGCATCACACTCCTCCATCATCCTGTTCTACAGCCATTGTGGATACTCTCTTTCCTATAAGTCAGGTTATTGAATTGATCTTCCTACCCTCAATAATTACTGCTTACTATTCACTTAAAAACTAAGTACTTACAGCAACATCTTTTCTTGAAGGTAAAAGATATTTACATGATTGAATTATTTGATTACTTTTAGAAGTGAGAATATAGATTCCATGTAAATTTTCTGAAAAATAAAAGTATTGTCTCAACTAAATTAAGGTTACCAACATCTATTAATTTCTTATTAAAGAATAACTTTGCGTATTAAAGTAAGATTTTTTTTATATGACTATGTGCTTCAATGTTCTGTCTTTTCTCTCATCCAAGTACTAACCAGGCCTGACCCTGCTTAGCTTCCGAGATCAGACGAGTTCGGGCGCGTTCAGGGTGGTATGGCCGTAGACCGTTCTATCTTTTCTGATTCTGTAATTTTGAAATTAAAAATAGATATCAGAGAAAAATTATAGTGGCACATTCCAGGAACTAGGAAGAGGGGCAAGGGAAGTTACTAGTTAATGGAGGTAGACTTCTTTCTTTTTTTTTTTCTTTTCTCTCTTTTCCCCTCCTCTTCTTCAGTTCCTCCTCCTCC